GGTGACAACGGTGCACCTGTGGGCGCCTTGGTGGTTTGGGGTGGGCATTTTGGAATCTAAGGCTTCTTGTCTTACTCCCTGGGATTACAGCTTTCTGGAGCAACCCATAAGATGCAAAGAGCTATTTTACCACAAAGGTGTTCCGTCCATGTGCGGTACGGTGGATACCCTATTCGCAAGGGAGCAAGCTGGAAACTGCTGGCAATCCATTTCCAGCCACCGTTGCATGGCTTTTGTGGTTGTTGATTGCCCTTCCATTTGGTTAAGGCTCCAGGAAAAAATAAGAATATTTCTAGTAGTGATGAATTCCTTTAAAACCAACAAGGGAAAATAATCATGGTCTTAAGCAAATGGAGGTTGCTGAAGACCCTGGCCCCCCCGGGAGCCCCTCGGACCCAGGCCACTTGTCCGCGTAGCGCTTCCCTTCAACTCAGCAGCCGGCAGAGGTGGGAACTGCGCCTTTCAACCCTCGGGCGTGTCTCGAACTTTGATTGGACGCGAGGAGGTCCTTGTATATCTCCTTTTGGAAGGGTTCCTTAAATTGGTCATTGTGTATATAATATATGTATATACGTGCACATATAATATGTACATACATACATACATATATATATACATGCACATACATAATATGTATATATATATATATATATGTTATGTGCACATACACAATGTGTATTTACATATATACAAGCCACACTCAAGATTCATAGCTTTATCCAATGACATTGGGTTTTGGAGAGCACCACTCGATGTGGCGAATCCCCCCCGTTGGACTGCTGGGTGCCCTGTTTGGTTTCTTGATAGCACCAGAAAGAAATATTGTTTGCCCACTTTCCTGAAAAACAGGGAACCGACTAGAAGTAAATGGATCATGGAGACGAGTCAAGAGGACTACATGGAACGGGAACCAGCCTCCTAAATGGCGGTTTGCCAACATGATGGACCCCTGTTGATGGATATTTAAAAGAAAGCTAAAAGGAAACCGTTGCCATTTTAGCGGGCCAATTCCTATCTTGAGAAACACCTCTATACAAATCCTAATCCATAATCCCTTTTGGAACAGGGGGCCCCTTTAGTAACAAAGTCAAAATTATGGGTTGCCTTTGAAGAGCCCAGAAAATGTGGGTTCTTGGTATCCCTTTGAAGTTCAAAGCAGCAGCTGGGGTCCTGGCGAAGCACTGATTAAGCCGCAGGAGTTCCGTACGTGTGAAAACGAACAGCGGTTAGCAAGGCGGGGCCCCTTTTACGTGGGGTCCCCAAAGGTTGAGACGAGGGACAGTTTGGGTGGACAATCCAACGACACCCAAAGCCAACCCCCCATTTTTTTCGGAGAAACCTGGCTCGAAGGGTTCGGGCCACTTGCGCTGATGGGTTTGTCTCAAAGCTGGGGGACGCCCAACAGGTTGAGTTTCCTGGTAGTTTCCCACCAACCAGTGGCTGTGGCTCACAAATGGGTACCCAAATGGCACCTGGGTAAATGGAACCAAAGACTAACACCTGCGTAACCCTAGTGGCTTCCACCCCACAGGACGCATATCTCCGAGTGAGCGCCGCGCAGTGCTTCGTCGTCTTCATGGAATCTGGCTTGTCTTGCTTTCCCATCTCCGCGTCGAAGCTGACCGCGCGGACATCCCAAAGTCGAGAGTCAAACCCCCCCAGGTTTTCCTTAAGCGAAATCCTCTCAGTGGATCTGTTGTTTGGGGAAACTGGAATAGCTTCTCAAACCAGAGGAGTGATTTGTTTTCAATAAGATGGTACAATTGCGGAGTGGATCCCAGATAGTCAAGTAATAATGTTCCTCTTTAAATCAGCATGTGCGTATGTGAAATAGGGGTGCCCCAAAGGCCCCGGCTTTCCTGTTGGCCTTCATTCAAACCAACCCAAACGAGGGTACCTTCAAATGCAACAAACCTGTGTGGCTTCCCGGGGCTCTTTGGTACTCCTCATGATGCTGGTAGGTGAAAGCGCTGCGCCTGACAAAGGCTTAAGGCCTGATCTGGGGGAAAGGGTGATGAATGGAAATGGAGACACGACTCCAGCGGGAAATTAGATGCTGCAAACTCCTTTTCTCTGTTGAGATCTGAGAAAACAAGGGGAGAATGTGAGGGGTTGCCAGTCAAGGCCAGCCAATCTGCCCGAGCCAGGCAAAGAATCACAAGGGCGTACGTGCTTATCATTCATCTACTCGGGTTTTGAGTGTGACTCGGCCCAGTCGCAGTGGGTTTGGTCTTCCCAGCGCAAACATGGCGATCCCCCCGGAGGGATTCGATGGGGGCTGGTTTCTTGCAAGACGTGTCATAGAAAGCAAACCTTGAAATTCTAAAGGCTTACCCTGGAACCTGACAAGGGGGTCCTGGTTTGGCCCATTTTCCTTTCAAAGGGACACCCAGGGTATCCAGCTTGGCTCAACCCGTTTTGTTCAAGTTTATGCGGGAAACGCTGGGAACGCATTCGGTACTTCCCTCCATAACTTCGCACCGGAAAGCACTCTTTCAATCACTTCAGCGCCGCCTTCCTACAAACCCCGCAGAGTTTACGCGCATGCCAACCCCCATGAAACCCTGGTGATTTCAACCTGCTACATTGGCCAATGGGAATCGGGAGCCTGTGCGCTCACTTGGTGCTGGGTTTTTTGCAAGTCTTTCTGGAAGAATCGGACCGGGGGATCGCAGATTCGGTCGAGCAGCAAACTGAGCTCCTTCGAAAGCATAGATTTTGAAGATATGACACGCCTTATTCTTACATATCCAGACGTGGGCAGTCTTTTCTACTTCTATCAAAGGTTGAGTTCTGAGATTGGGTCGGACCCCTTGAATCCACGAGTCACCGCATCGAGGGGCAGGTTTCCAATAGTCAAGCCACAGTTAGCGGTTCATCCAGCAATCGACTAGGGGTTCAGTTCATACATTCAGCCTAGCCTGTGATTCTGCTTCGGATGGTATCATACGGTTTCATCCAGAACTCGGGCGAAGTGGATTTTGTCCACACTCGCAGTGGTGCAAAACCCTGACAAAAACCACATGTTCAACCGCTGGTAATGCTTTCCCCCTAGCTCAATTCATGAACTGGCGTGGAACATGTGCAAGGCGGGCTCGTCCCCACCTCTCCCAGCCATTCTCCGGCTCATCCATCCAGTAGCAGTAGCCTGCCTGACGTTTCAAGAACATGTGCGAGCTTTGTGGGCCGGTTTGCTGCCCTCACCAGAACATAAGTGAGTCACAACTAAAACCAGGCGGGAAAAAAAGATATGGCCCTCACATAAAGAATTGCAAGAGCGGCAAGCCATTTCCCCACACATATGCAAACATCAAAAGAAGGCAGCTCTTTGGCTTGCTCATTTTTAGACGAACCTACCAAATTACCGCAAAACAAAGATAAACACCCACTGCCACTGGGCAAATAAATGGCCCTAACTGCGACATCGCACAGTAGAGACGAAGGATCAAAGAAACATGAGAGACACACACACAGCCCACAGAACCACACAGAGAGTTGATAAAGTCCTTGTTCCTTGTTTGGGTCTCGACCTCTTAAGGCACAAACAACATCCGCCAACAGTGATGAAGTCTAATCCAAGTAGGGCTTCAAAATCGGACAATTAAAGGGTCTACAGTTCTTCCTCAAGGACCACAACACGCTTGCTAGTAGGGGTTTCTAAAAGGATGGTGGCAATTGGGCTTCCCAAAGCCACAGAGAGCGGAAGAAAGAACCCCCACCCACAGGCCATATAGGTGACATTCTATACATACATTCGTACTTCCATACATATATGCACGTGTATATATATATATATATATCCACATATATATATATACATATGGGTGTGGCTCAAAATTAAACAGGAGGGTTACGCAGGTGTTGGTCCATGTTTCCACTTGCCAGGGTTCCATTTTGGTACCGGTTTCTTGAGCCACAGCCATATCTGCCATTATGGTGTTGCGTGTGTGCATGAATGTATGCATGTATGCATGTACGCATGCATGCATGTATGCTGCATGTATAAATTTATGCATTCATGCATGTATGCTTGTAAGAATGTATGATTTATGAAGGTATGCATGTATGCATGTATGCGTGTATGCATGCATTGTGCATGTCAGAATGCTTGCAGGCTTGTATATAAGAAAGCTATGCATGTATGCATGCATGCATGTAGGCGTGTATGCAGGCTCGCATGTATGCATCAACGGGGGGCCTCCTGGTTGCCGACCTTCATCCTGCCGAAGAAGCGCGACAAGCAGCCCCTGAGCTGGGGCGGGTGCTCACAAGGAGATATCACAGCGGGACCTTTTCAAGATGATGGCAGTTCTCAAAACCCTTTTGTCACTTTCATGATTGTCGGAAAAGGGGCAGGACGAACAATCACCACATCACCATTAAATTAGACCAATTTCCCTTGTGAAGGTTCTTCGACCATGTTTTCCACCTCTTTGGTTGGACAACTTCGCCTCTGGGTCAAAATTCAACCACGAGGGGACCGCTGGTTTTAGTCCGTTCCATTTACCAGGGCAACCCTTCTTGACCCACAGCCACCTACCATCCGGCACCCACCTAAAAATTGCAAACCCGAGAGCTGCGACGGGTCGGTCCAGTCAACCCTCGGGCCTCTGGGCGCCCGGGCCCTCCACCCTCATCGTAGATGAGACGCTGGCCCGTGCTGTTGGCAATGAAGCCCTTGCCGTCCTTGAACCTGGGCTAGAACTTCTTACACAATCCACGCGACGCACAATGGATGAAACCCGAATGGAACTCTGGCTGACAAATATTGTCCGGGCGCAAAACTCGCTTGGCACATTCCCTTTTGGCTTCATACTGTGCATCAACAAATTGTACTGCGCACCTCTTGAGCTGGACCGGTGCTTAACTCTGGGTTGCTCTAGAAACACCAGTCAAAAGCGGGCCTCCCATACCAACAGAAAGGAACATCTGCCATCCAATGGACTTCCATGGACATACAGGGTTTACTGGGTTTACCTTTTTGCCTGGGTGAGTTTGAAGGGCCTCTGGCCAGAACGAGTGTTAACAAAGGAAGCACCCCAGGGTATGGCTACTCCACTTCCAACAATCATGGTTTAACGGTTTAACGAATCGGCTCTTGACCCGCTGCTATGGCTAGAGAACCACCTCTGCCCAACTTACCACGGTTACAACCAACTTCGGTTGAACATCCAGTTGCCCAGCCGATCCCTGGGTCCTTTGGGTTGCAACCAGTGAGGAACCATAATGATGTGGTGCCCATGTTCAATGGGGCAACCTGCACATTTTGCCTTGAACGGATGTGGAACAAATGGATCATGCCGTCACGGTGCTGGGACATGTGTTGCAAACCCTCCTAAAACTCGCTTGCAGGTAAAGGACCCGTTCTCGCCATCAAGAGAGCGACAAATTGGGTGTGGGAAATTCGGGTGTCACGCACAGTCCCACACACCAGCGAACCACAAATTTAGTTTGCAAGTTCCTCATGACTTCCCCCGGTACAGAAACTGGAATTTAATTTGAGCAAGCCCCAGAGCCCAACTACGCTGTTGGCCTTGCTTGGCCCAAGGCTTGGCCAACTGCGCAAAACGCAACGCGCAGACCCCTTTCCAGCAGTCCTTCCAACCTATCTTGAAAAGACCGCAAGATGCCATCCAAACGAGCCATCTCAGAACGGATGCCAGAAAGAAGAGAGGCGGATGAAAAAAAGGATGGCAGCTTGGTCTGTTAGAAGGGGCCAGCAACTTGGGGGCTGCCCTCTGATCGGGTTACACCCTCCGACCATTCCTGAACTGGAAACAAGTAGCCGAGAGCTTTTTGGATTTTCATGCCGCTGAGATTCTCAGGACCCCGTTTCATTTACACAGGGTGAAAGTAGATGGCACAATTCCCTTTATGCAGACAAGTAAAGGGGCATGTCTCAACCAACATGGAATTACCGAAGTGGAAATTAGCAACCGCCTGGCCTAAACCAGAACGGGTTGCAATGTTTGCCATCGATCAGCCAACCTTGGCCCACATCTGGAGACAGAATTTGTTCACCCAAGCTTGGCCATCTGGAGTATACAGAAGTATTTGTCAGATGTTTCATTTGTCTGCCCTGAAATATGTAAAATCGCGTGGGAGCCCAGATTCAGCGCTGAAAACCCGCCAGCCGCCAGGCGGCTCGTCCAGTTGAACCCCCGGCGCCAGCTTGCCCTGGCGAAGCTTTTGGACAGGTTGGCTTGGAAGACAAAACCTGAGGGCATAAACAGTTGAGTACAACATGCTTGGGCATGGATATAGGATGGTTTCTCTTACCCGACATATATACCGCATGTTCCTCTGGAAGTCGTGGTTTTGGGGTGGTGAAAAGCGTCTTGGAACATCGGAAGACTCGATGAAAACTGAGTCATTGAAGTCAATGAACATCAAACAAACTGAAAAGGCAGAACTCATCTGTTGTCCAACCAAACTGAGCAAAAAAGTAAAGGCCCACTTTTTCCCGGGCCCTTTGCCACCGCTGAGATTTGCGGCCCCTTGTCAATATATAACACCTATTAGCTGCATATCGAGATGGGTTCTGTACCCTGGACAACTCCTGAATAACCAATTTGGGTTTGTTTTCTTGTGTGTACCCTTTTTTCTTTTCTTTTTTCTTTCTTTTTTTTTTGGGGGGGGGGCGGTTGAAAGGAAACCAACGGAACAATCATTTCAGGGGTCCACTGATGGGGCTCCATGGGCGGTCCATGAGATGTGCCACTTCTGGTTGATCGCGAACAACAGTATGCCTAGTATATACCTTGGCCCACTCGAAAACACTGAAAATGGTGCCTTCAGATTACTTTTTCAGGTATTGTCTACTCTAAAAAATGAAATCATTTTGGAGGAGACCCCAGATACTGGGTTGTTCGTTGGCCTGCCACTTTCTTTGATTGGCACGTTTGGCATACTTAGGAATTCATCAACACGATGTTTCTAGAAAACGGCTGGCTGCACAGTCGTGGACTGCACACGTTTCCCCCCTTGTTGTTGTTGGTACTTCTTCAAAATGTTGAAAACAACATCCTACAGGCCGTTCCTACAGGCAGTTTCGTCGGGGGTGGTTTGGGGATAGTGGAAAGCCTACTCACTTTTCAGGGTCCATGCCTGGCCCCTCTTCAAACCCTGCTTTTGGGAATACTGATGTATATACATATGTGTATATATATATATACACATGGGAGTGTCTTAAAGCGGGAATCGAACCTCCCCGGGAAAAAAATGGAAGAACAAAACACACATGGTCGGGGTTAATTGAGTGTCCTTTTAAACCACCTCGAAAAGGGTCCTTCAAACTATATATATATCACTATGTCAACGTACATGTATATGAAAATGTATATATATATTACTACAAGTGCATGCATACTACCATTCGAATCTATTGCTTGTAATTTACAATATCAATACTATACATGTAATATGTATCAGTAGCGGATTGTCACCCATGCTAGTTCTGAAACTGTTCTTGATGGCGGCTTCAACAAGGACATGGTCCACCAAATATCGGGGATTCCCATGATGCCGCACGGCTCAGAAGACCTGAGGCCCCGAGGCCCCGAGGCCGCGAGGCCCCGGCGTCTTCGGGGAACCACCAGGTGGAAGGATCCAACTCCTGGGTGACTTCCTCGCTCTTCTCACCTGAGATCTGCAGCCGGAAGGGAATGACCTCATGGAGTTGGACCTCATGGAATGACCTCATGAGTCTCTTGCATTCTTTGTCCAAAGATCCCGGACGTTGCGTCGCAAGCCACGCTTGGTAGATCAACTCCAACCTGATTCGAACACTGGGAATGGATCATCCAGGTCCCCCCTCACCGCAACAAATGCTCCGAAGCATAAAGCGTGAGGTTCCAGAAGTTTCGACAGGTCCTTTTGCTTGCGAAAGCAAAGCATGTGATAGTTTTGGCCGGGTCAAATCGTGTCTGGCCCCCTTTTGTCTTCTATGGGGGGGGGTCCACTTCAGGCTTGGGAAGGTTACCTTTTCCCGTTGTGGAACAAAGCCACTCCCTTCAAGTGATGAGTTCCAGGCTAGGCAAGCCCTGCAAGCACCCATTTATCTTGGTCCTTCGCCCCTGTTTGGCGCAAATGGCAGCGAGATCCCAAGCCCCCAAGCGGAACCACCCAATCCACACCCAAGTTGGCCCTTGAGTTTTCATGACTAACATGGGGCCTTGGCTCTTTGGCCCACTTCATTGCAACTATGAACCGGTGCCCTCCGTTACCACCCCACCTACCAGCTGCATTGTGGTGCCACCTTCTTGGCTGACATGTGCACTTCTATAAATGCTTGTTTGAGCGGGAAAAGCGCCCCTCAAGCGAGTACATAGGTACACCCAAATTTGTGAAGCTGGGATCTACTTCGACCAAGTTGTTTGCCATACCAAGGCGTTCTTTTCTCCTTCGAGTCACCTTTGGCGCCTTTGCCCTTCTTGTCCTTGGAATCAGCACCCTCCGCCTTGATCTCTCGCAAGAAGGGCTCCTGCGTGCCGACGGAAAGGAGATAAACAGCATTCGAAGGCACGTTCTGGGGCTGGACAATTCTATCGTATTGGGGTCCCGAAAAGGATTCCGCTGGAAAGGGAACCCTTGTAGCAAAGCCTCCGATCGATCATCAAGTCGACGGGACTTTTTTCGGATACGACCACTTGAGCCATCAAAACCTGGTACTGAAGAGGTCCACCCAAAACCGAAAGAAGCAAATGCTATTTATGGCCTCCCCGCCAACCTCAAACAACAGGGGTTTTGATTGTTGCTTACTTTAGCTTTGGCGTGGGCGGCGGAAGTGGGGGTTTGGACCATAGGAGAACCACAGGTAAGAGAACATGATACTGGCAGAGCCAAACAAATGTCATGAGTTCCACGTCTAACCTCAAATGGCTTGTCTTTTTTGGATATACTTGGAAAAGGCTGGCGTCCGAATGGTTGAAGACAATACCTCAGACAATCGATCGGGTAGACCAACCACTCGCTTCAACATGTTCAAACGACCATTGCATGACAACTTTTACTTGTTGATTCCTTTTTTGATTGTGGACCGTCCCCGACCCGCCCCCAGCTGCCGTTGGCATCAACCACCAAATTTGCTACGAGCTGCTTGCAAGAATGCCCAATATATAAATCGATTGGGTAGTTGCAGTGATGGGGAGTGTGTTTGATACCTCAAACAGATGCTCTTAGCCCCCTTCGCCACGTCTGTTTCGTTTGCCGCAAGTGCCACACAAAAGGGGAACTCAGGGTCGAATCCATTGACGTCTGGTTGTACAAACATGATTCTCAATGTTGACGCAACCCTCCCTTATTGTAATCCCACCCCCACAGGGAGCAGAAGGGCAACAACAAATTGGCCGGTGCGTGTTTTGGACACTCTTTTGGTTGGCTTCCCTACAAACATTGCACATGAATGGTTCAGAGGAGTACATCCACCATCCCTGCGATCAAGGACTTTGGAGTGGAGCAAGCAAAAACAACAGTTGAGTCTTCCATGTTTTTTTGATTCGCCCGAGGTAGACTTAAACCCAGGGTTGTTGCTTCCCTCAAGAAGAAACCCCCGGGGTTGATTTCTACCGCGGGGCAATCAAATTGAACCCTTTAACGGTGAGATCGAATATTTCAGCCGGTGCTGTGCGTATGCAAATCCTGTGCAGGAATCCTTAACCAAGTGGGCACCATGGTCCAAACTCTTTGGGTCAAGGTCATGGCTAGGAATCCTTCTAATGCTTGACTGGTTGGGGTGACCATCACCGATAACCCCATGAGTCTTTTGACCATTTTGACCATAGCGACAATGGAGCACCATGGACAATGCGAAAATTCGAGCTGGCAAGCTAAGTCTGGCAATGTGCAGGGTTTATTGAAGGATACATCGAAAACCAGCTGATTTACGAGGGGCGTCGCTACATCAGCTGGCAAAAGTGTGTTTGTTGAAAACAACCTGGCATGTGCGGGGGAAAAACAACAAAAAAACTTGTTTTTGTGGTAGCCACTAAAAATACAGAACCAGAAAACTGAAAACCACGCCATGAACAGTGAAGCACTGCCAGCCCGTCCCTGGGAAGGAGGTAGCCCTTGTGCGATGACACCTGCGCCGACGTGGATGCATCCCAACGTGCAGGATGTGGTCCCCCGACAGTAATTGTGAGTCGCCTAAAGGAACTACCTCGACATCTGACAAGATCTACAGATCTACTAAAGGGCAATTAAACAACAAGTCTACTGTGCAGATTCTACAATATTTCCAAACCCGGAAACAAGTGGATCGGACCTACGTCATGGTGAGTTCGAACAAGAATGTGTCTTTCCTTTTCATGTTCGCCCAAACAAATACAATGCAGATGAATAGGCGGTGTAACTTCCCGAAAGTATCCGGCTCTTTTAACGGGGCCGCCACCAATCAAACTCAAGCAAGGCTTGTTTTACTCCTGTCAAGATCTGTGTCCTGAACCAGCTGGGTCTCAAAGCACAAAGGCCTGCCAGATCTGCACAGACCACAACCTCCAGTCTCCTGACTGAGCGGTTGGCCATGACCTCTCAGCTTCGGGTATAGCAACCACTTGTCAGCAAAGGGTCGAAAGACTGCAGGCATGGAGTTCACAGCCTTTCCCCACCTTGGCATGTGAGCAAAACAGTGTTTGTTTTTGCGTGTTTTTGCTTTTTTTGGCGTCGCCTAAAACCAACAAACTTAGAGGTTGATTGCCCATTCTGTTCAAGCATCGTTCTTTTTAAACGGCCGTTTTCAACCTGGATTTCCGGAGGTTTTCCTAGAAAGCAGAATCCCTGTGTTTGGAAGGTACCCCTAACGCATAGATCCAAACAACTAAGTAGCCATGCCAAAAGATCCATCGAGGTTCTGGGCAGGACCATACCATCGACAAACCTTTCGAAGTTGCGACCAGACTTGAGATACAGTATGCGCCATTTGTCCGCAGCCCTTTTCAGTTTGCCTTTCGATGTCCCGAATTCATCTACCTTATATGCCTCTGTGGGCAATCTCAATGGGCGCTGGGGACATGTCCACCAATTATGTTGTAAAACAAAGGTTCCGTAGTCCGGGCAGTCTCAAAGTTGGAACTGTTTTGAACACATAACAAGGTTCCGGTACTAAACAACACATACCCAGTTGGCTATTTCCAAATATCATGCACCCCCAAGACTGGGCTGTGGCCTTCTTTTGGCTTCCCGTATCCAGGGGGTTCTCAATGTCAGGACATCCCCATTTGTCTGATCTTCATTTAAAAGCTATGTCTTCGGGTCGCTTTCACCGGCCGTCTCTACGTTAGCAAGGTGACGAGCTGACGAGTGGGCGATGGGGGCAAAATGTGCTTTGCGTTGATATGCGCCGTGCATTCTTTGGTTGTTTCGTGTCCTCGAAGGAAATGTTCAGGTTATTACCCCCGCCACGAATTGTGAGCATCTGCCTGTTTCCGGGGTATGGTAAGGCGCTGCGAGGGCTTTTCCGGCAGACTTATATTATCTTCTGTTCCGTAAATGCTGACCCCTTTCCCAATCAGCCACAAACAACACACACGTTGCATTCAGCAGCTGTCATGATAAAGCCTGGTCTCAACTAAAGACAGTCCCCAAACGGAAACATACAGTGCACAAAACTTCGGACGTTGAGAGAGCGCTTTTTGCATGGCCTTCAGGATGTTGTACTTTGTCAGCCGCTTCTCTCGTCGGATCTGACCCTGCGCACGTGGGCATCAATCAAAGGCTGAATGCATGTCGCATCCCTGGGAAACCAACCACTGAAGCCACAAATGCCATAGGGATGAGGACACCATCCAGTTCCTAGTTTTCCACATCTTCCCTCCCGTCCAAAAGAACTGTCCAATCCTTGCTTGTTTTTCTCTGCGAGCTAATGACGAACGAGTCCCATCCCTTGAGACATTCATCAGATGGTTGGGAGAAGAACACATCTTCCGCTGAAAAGGTCCCCCTGCTTCAATGGGATGCATCAACCAGGCTTCAACATCTGCTGGCCCAGAACAAGCGCAGCATCACACCTCCCGTTCATGCGCAACTCTCTACAGTAATCGACCTCCAAAACAAGTTATGGCAAACGCAGCCTCAAACACTCGCATCGTGCGTGGGTTGGCCAACAAACAGTTCCAACTGTTTGTTGCCACATGTTGCAACCAAGATGGTTCAACCCAGTGAATTCCACTCGGTGAGTGAGAACATCATACCCAGAAAACACCCTTGCCGCCCTCCGATTTCCCACTGGTTGCTCCGGCTGAAGCCCTGCAGCCCGCGGGCTTCAGGAACTAAGCATAGACAGTGTACACAAAAACTTCTAATACGTTCAGACCGTATGGATCTGTTCTTTTTTGCAGGGAACACTTGTTGGGGTTGGTTCAAAAAGAAACCAAAAGAAAAACCATCATATTGGGGGTTCCCCTAAAACAAGACATTCCGAAAGTATAAAATACTTTGGAGATGCCAATGAGGGCCGTGGTTTCCTTTGTGGAATCCTTGTCTAAAAGGCAGGCACTAGCACCACTTCCTTTTTTTGTTGTTTCTTGATTCTTGGCCAAGTGTTCGAGGCAACTTACCTCCCCTGGAACCCAGGAAGCTCCAGAAGAAGCCGTAGCTTCTTTACTCCCAAGGACTATTTGACATTTCCAGGAGCCTTAAATAATGACAGCATGGCAACCAACTACCCAAGCAAGTCATCAGCCACAGGGGGCATACTATTCCTAAGTTTCCCCGTCCCCCCTGCTTCCCTCCAAACAGCACCAGTTAATTTGCGCCTCCAGGTAGGCGCGGATGGCATACGCCTCCTCCGCATCCAGCTCCTCGCAATCCTGGCACTTGGCCCGACAGGCGGGACTTCCCTTTCACTATTTGGAAAACGTTTCTAGGGAGGTCAACCCCTCCCATTCTGTCATCTGTAGGTGAAATTTTAAGGGGGATCCTTTTGTGACCTGGACTAAATAGACCAAACCGGAAACACCATTCAGATCAAAAGGGCCGAAATGGGCAAGCGAGATGCGAGAAATCTCTTGGGGCACGCCTTGTTGGGTTCCACGGTTGATCTGCAGGGAAGTTCTTTCAGGGGGACAACGCAGTTTCCCTTTGCGGGGTTGCACAGCAGAATAAGGGCGCGATAGAACCCATGGTTTTGACGCATGCAAAGAACCCACCATGGAAGGGTATCAAGAGGACTAACTGGGGGAGTCTTTTTTGAGGGTGTTTTTTTTGTGGTGTTTTCTTCCAGGAAGCCAAAGGCACTCCTAAGCCATGGGTTCAACCAGAGCCCAAATCGCGGGTCTTTAAATTGCTGTCTGTGGTTGGCTTCCTCTGGGTCTCTGAGTTGGAATCTGCAAGCCCGGTTTGGAACGTCCAGAACGGCTCCAAAGCTTTGGAAAAGCCTTGGAACCCCGTCGCTCCCCAAAATCAGCTGCTATTCATGCGCTTACATGGCCCTTGGTATCCTTAAGGGGCCGGGTAAGAGGTCACCAACTCGGGAAACCCAAGACACGCTACCCCAAATCCCCGGCCTCGCGCTCTTCTTCCAGTGTCCACCTTGGGGTCGCATGACTTGGGCAAGGGATTAAACAGTTTCTACCATAGCTGGCTTGTTAAAGGGCAAGCAAGTAAGATGTTACCAAACATTGACCCACATGAAGCCCAAACTAGCCACGAAACTTCCTGGCGGGGGGCATTCCTCCTACCAGGGTCCGAAACCGAGCAAATATGTTTGCCAGCCATCCTGAGGACCATGACATCCGGAATTTTTTGAGTGGTGTGCAGCCTTCAGTTACCAAGCCACGGCTTGCCACAGGACTTGAGTCAAAAAGTCACTGTGTTAACTAAAATTGAGGCACCCGTTTGAATGGGTGTATGTGGCAGTTGATCAATATTCCTGTTTCCGGAAAACGCCATCTTCGCGAGAAAAAAAGTTTCTTTCACGAATCTTTCGCGACTCCATCGCCACGCCCTTTTGTTTGCAGCGTGCGCTCTGGAGCCATTGTGGCTGCTGCAGTTGTGCATGCAAACACGGTAGTCGCAGTTCACTTGCGTGCAGTACGTAGTGTCAAGTGCAGGCAGTCACCGTCGTTCGCCCTTGCCACTTGCGGTTGCCGGCGATGTGCGGAACCTTGCAACAAGCTCCCTGGTCTTTCGCCGGTCTTTCGCGGATCTTTCGCGAAACTTGCTCCAAAATAGCCCAGCCAACGTTATTGATTTGCACCAATCCCAACACAGGCAGAGAATCAATAATGCAAGTGTAGGTGCTGCGTATCTCCCTCTCTACAAGGGAGCGGGGTCTGCAAATATGCAAGTGCACAGGCAGGCCTCCAAGAATTCAACGCGGAATCTTTCGCGAAAAATAAGTTTCTTTCGCGAACTCCATCGCCGATCTTTCGCGGAGGGATTTAAGCCAAGACGAATGGTCACCGAATACATAACTCCTTGCAAGGACCTTTTGATCAACCCCCATGTGTGTGTGTGTGTGCGCTTTTTGAAGGGTATACACTCTTTGTTGGGTTGGTCAAAAGGAAAACCAAGGGACACCACCCCTCATCACCCCCCAACAATGGTTAATCAAGGGGATGATCTGCAAACGGCAGTTACTTCAGTTTTGGATGGTGGCCAAAGGCAAGCCAACAGAAAATCACTCCCATTGCAGGGGTCCCCGAATTGTTCGTAGATTCGCTGTGGACAACTAACTCGGTGGTGCAAGATTTATGGCAGGCTGTTGAATTCCCAAGTCAACCAGTAGCATCTTTCTAATTGCTGCCCACCCATGGCTCTCCCATACTTTTTCACAAATCAACCACAATTCACCAACCTGAACTAAGGAATCCAGAAGCAAAGGGGTCTATTATGGCTGGCATGCCTTGGTTTGGCGAACGGTAACTACTCGCACGGGACCCGTGGCTTTCAGTTTGTTGCCACTGCTTCCAGAGCACACAGAATGCACCTCTGGCTGCTTGCATGTGTGAAAGGGCTTTTCTGGAGTCGTTTTACGGCATTCTTTGTGCATTTCACACAACACGGGCAGTGGTCGCTTGCATCTCCGGAGCTGTCACTTCCTAATTGAATGCTTACACTGCAGACCAATTTTGTGTGTGTGTTAACATGTATTCATTGCCTTCGCACCATTCTTGCACGGCAACTCGAAATCTCTCCACATGGAAGGTTCTTTGCAATTTGTCAAGACAGACAAGAAAGCCAAGCCAGAGCCATTTGTTTGGAACGCAACGGAGTGATGGCATGTGGAAGAAAATCATTTTTCCTGCCGGATTGCCGCGAAGGAATGGCGCGAGGGCAATGAATGTAGACACGCACTTCAATGGCGGCGAAAGCATACGGGCCGCCTGTGGCAAGAACCTGGTCTGCTGTGCAAGCAGGCAATCGAGAGGCAGCTCCGGAGATGCTGGACAAGAGAAGCGCGCATGGAGATTCGACCATTGCCCGGATTTTGCGAAAAGCACTAAGAACGCTGTAAAAAGGTTCCAGAATTGGTGAAAAACAGCTACGTACTCCTCAAACCGCCTTCAGCCCGGCACCTTTTTCTAGTGGAATTTAAAGGGAAACCATTGTCTCAAAAGGAAACAGCGTTCTACTGGGCAACTGGGATTGGGACCCCCCGACATCAAACAGCTATGGATCCCATCCCCAAAGGGTCCTCCAACGTGCCTTTCGAAGGTCCCACTGGGATCTCCGGACCCCTCTTCTTGTTGGTCCGCTTTTAAAGGGAAACCCCCTCCAAAAAAGGGAGAAGCGAGGTCTGGGTCATCTTTCGGTGTCGAAAACGGTCTGCTTACAGTCAAGGTCCAAAGACCTGACCTTTTCGAGTTGAAACTAGTTCGTGTCCACTGGAATGCCCGAAAAACAAAATCCTGAAAGAACAAAGGGTATGTGTCAACGAAAGGCTTTCCCATTTGGGGGGTGGATGTTTCCGTTTGTTTCTGCTTTCAGCCAACGTGACTTTGCTTTCGGGCGCATCGCATTTCTTCAGCCAGGCTAAGGCGTACACTCCTCCATGAGCTCGGCCATGTTGACCTTGGTAAACTCGAAGAAGTCTTCGAAGACCTCGTCTTCCTGCGACGCTCCGCTGGATTCCTTGACCGATCGGTATTCGACTCCCGGTTCATCGCTCCGAGCGATGCTGCCAACACATCCCTTGGTTTCCTACGGATCCTGGGACCTCAGTTGTCCAACCTAGAAGTAGAGTGCGATCGCCTTTTGGGAGCTTGGAAAAGGCTGCCGAGGAGAACCACAAGGGCAAAACCGACCAGAAGCAGATGGACCGGGGGGGCGGGGAGAAAAACGACATCACATTCAGCACCTCTGTCCTTAAAGAAGGTTCAACAAATTCAATCGGTGAACCAGTTCGTTTGTCCAATCCCAGACCTGTGTTTTTGCCTCCATTCTACCTTTTGGTTCCGACAAAAAGAAACAGGTCGATCGAAAAGGCACAGTCGGCCCCCCCCTCCGCAAAAAAAGCAGGCGAAGAAGGGAAATTAAAGCCCGAACGGTCTTTTGGGCAAGTCTTCTCCTCTTTCCTGCTCATGCTGTCATATGCGGGGCCCAGGGTTCTGAAACCACTTCCTGACATGAGGGTCTCTGGAAAGCGCGGACTCAGCTGTGAAAAAAAAAGGAAAACGCACCTGAGTCGGGGTTGCGTCCATATCCATTCAGTTTGGATTCCACCATGATGCTTCGCACGGTTCGTAGTGTGAGCAACAAAGCGATTTTTCAGGGCATGGGATTTTGGGTAGTCAGCTTTTCTCTATTACTTATGATTTGTGCAGGTTGATGGGTATCAGTTCAAGGGTGGTCCCATTCCTAATCATTGGTTTGTGATGATCTTGTCGGCTGCTATGACCCTGCTACTACTCTTTTTAGTTGCGGGCCTTTTCTTCCTGGGGTGTGATCACAAGAACGATCAACGGATTGTATTTTGTGATTGGCCCGCACCTTTCTGCCTGAAACTGCCTGAAACCCTGTCCCCCCACGGTGTCCCCGATTAAGTAGGCTTCACCCCAAGGGCTCCTTTTGGGCGCATACTAGCAATTTCCAAATGCACCTGAATTGCTTTCAGCGTCTCATATAGTTTTCCAACTGGGCTTGTTTGCTTGTCCATATCCACGCCCGGCTTCGGCCCTGCAAAGCTGCTGCCTCTTGTTGCGGACCCTGAAAACAATAATGGCCCCTTGCGGCTAGTGCCAAAACACCGTGGTGCCTTCTAGTGCCCTCAGTTTTGCCACAACAAATCCGTCGAAACATGCATGATGAGAGCCAATCCCTGTACCCCACGCAGAACCAGAGCTACCGAGCTAAGAACACCCGAGTTAGAGTAGGATGGCCCATTTATTTGAGACAAGTTTGGCATATAAGGATCCTGCACAGTTTTCCACTGAAGTAGCCTATACACATGACACCTCCGCGATAGGATGACCCAGTTGACCAGGTGACCCTGGCGAAACAAAGAGTATTGGTTGACCATTTCATGGGAAACCCAACATGCGAAAGGGGGAGTACAGGGTGG